TGTACCAATCTTCTTCTTCTTTAAGTGCCGTCTCCCAATCGGAGGTTGAATATCATCATCACTATCTTTACTTTATCTACTGCTGCTCTGAAGAGTTTTATAGAACTGCTATTAAACCAGTCCCTTAAATTCTTTAACCATGACACATTCCTTCTTCCTATACTCTTTTCTCCTCTAATCTTTCCCTTTATTATCAGCCTTAGCAGTTTCATATCGCTGTCCCCTCATTACGCGTCCCAGATATTGTAACTTTCTTATTTTTATTGTGTTTATTATTTCGCATTCTTAGTTAACTCATACCTATGTATGAGTATATACACCAGTAAAACATGCTATTAACCAAGTTTTACTATTTTTACAATAAATTTACAAATTTTATAATGTATTATGTCCATAATTGTATATTTTAATGTGTGGTATAAATGTTGAGTGTCAATGCTTACAAAAATAATCTCAAGGACTATGTCTTGAAAAAGAAATAAAACCATTCCGAAAGCTCGACAAAAAGTCAAAAGAGTGTTTGTTTTAACATCCCGGCCAATATCCTGACTGCAACCCTAATAAACGTGTTGTTTGTATATATATATATATATATATATATATATATATATATATATAAATATATATATATATATATGCCGGTTTAGAATGTCCTTCTCCGTTGTCCCACACCTAACTTCCATCCTCTTCTATCGTGGCTGACAGATTCCGTTCGCTCATTGACTTTTTTATGTTTTGCTTCCACTCTAGTTTGGGTCTTCCACGCTTTCTATTCCCTATTGGGGTCCAGTTCAGTATTTTTGGGCCATCTAGTATTTTGCATTCGCTCTACGTGTCCGTACCAGGTAAGTTGTTTCTTTTCGATATCCTGAATTGTCTTACCTTCTATTCCCATTCGTTGTTTTTTATATGGTCATTCCTCATTCTTCTCTTCGTGAGACTCGCATAGATCTTCTTATCGCGTCCATTTCGACTGCCTCTACCTTCTTTTATTTGTCTGTCTGGAATTCTCCATGTTTCCGCTCCATACAATAGGCTGCTGTAACTATTCGTTTTTCTATCTCTTTTACATCTGTTCCGGTATTGTCGAATGTGATACCTAAATATTCATATTCTTGACATTGCAGAATTTCTTTACCGTTGTCCAACTCCAAATTTTCGCTCTGAGAGCCTACACATGGATATTTCGTTTTATTTACGTTAACTGTCAAGCCGCATTCCTCATACTCTTCTATCAGCTTTCTAATCATATATTGCATGTCGTCTATGTCATTGGCCACTATGACCTGATCATCTGCAAACTAAAGAGTAAACAGGTATCTGTCATCTATCTCTATACCCATTTCCGTTGTATTTTCCTTTTCCAGTTCTTAAGTACCGCTGCTACATATATTTTGAATAGTGTAGGAGAGATAGGACATCCCTGACGTGGTCCCTTATTCACTATGAAGGCATCTGTTGAGTTTTTTACCTATCTTAATTCTTGATTGTGAATTTTCATACAGTTCTTTAAGTGCAGCTATATAGTTGTGATTGATGTTCGTTTGTTCTAATACCTTCCACAGTCTCGATACTGGGACTGTATCATATGCTTTTTGTAGGTCCACAAATGTCAGATGGGTTTCCAGATGTCTAGCAGATCTCTTCTCTATGACTTGTTTTAGACAAAATACGTTGTCGGTACACGATCTACCTGCTCTAAAGCCGCTTTGATCTTCTTCTTCTTTCTCTTTATAGTCCTTCTTCAATTAGATCTCGCAGTATTCTACTCTATAGTCTGCTCAGTGTACTCGTGATTGATATGCCTCGATAGTTGTTACAGTCCAGTTTATTTTCTTTTCTATGGATGGATGATATATTAGCTGTTTTCCAGTCTTCTGGAACAGGATGTCCATTTAGGCATTTATTGATAATTATTGTTAGATTTCTAAAGAGTTTTTCCGTTCCCCATCTTAACATTTCGGAGAAAATCCTTTCTGGTCCGCTAGCTTTCCCAACTTAAGGTTCAAAACTGTCTTTTTTACTGTTTCTCCGGATACCTCAACTTCTTCTCCATTTACTACAAAATGTTTTGAAAATTCTATCATGAATTTCTGTCTAGTTTCTTGTAGTAGAACTTTGTAGTGTTGTGTCCACTGCTCCGGTTTGATTATATGGATTTTTGCTCTGTCCTTTGCTGGGTTTTTGACATTTGATATAAATTTCCATACCTCCGAGCATTTCCTTCCTCCAATATAATTGTTAACTCCTTCACATTTCTTATCCCACGTCTCGTTCTTAGCTAAATTAATGCCCGCTCTTAGTTGTCTTTTTTGTTTGTTTATAATCTTCCAGATCTTGTTCATTCCAGTATTTTTTGTTGATCTCCTTTGCCTTTATTCCTACTGCTTCTCTGGTGGCATTTCTTAGACTTTCGATAACATTCTCATAGATTTCATAAAAGGTGCATTCTTCCGCATTTGATAGTTTGCTGTCAAGGTGCCTCTGATAAAGAAATACCGTGCTTTCATCGTTAAAACTTTGAAAATACCTTGTACACATTTCGTCGGTGAGTACGAAATCGTTGTTATGTTCATCTTTGGCCTGATTTGTTCTTCCAAATTTTATTCTTACTTTGGCTCTTACTAAAAAATGATCTGATCCGCAAGTGAGTCCTCTCAACGTCCTCTTACGTCGTTCACTTCTATATTTGTTTCTTGTTTACTTATCACATAATCAATGATGGATTTTAGGTTGCGGGTATTCTGTGTCCATGTGTAGCGGTGAATATCTTTGTGTTTAAAGAATCCATTGTTTATTCTGATATTGTGGGTTTCGCACATATATATCAGCCTCTGGCTATTATCGTTGGTTGCTTCTTCCCCAAATGGGCCTACAACTGGGCTATACATTAAATAGTAATGGGGACATAATATATCCCTGCCTCTCCTAATTTCAATTTCTGGACTGGGTTCGTTATCTATTACGATTTGTGCTCTTTGATTCCAGTAGAAGTTTGTTATTGTACCAATCTTAGCTTTCTGTAAATGACATATGGTGTTAATATTTAAATTTTGTTTAGTTTATATCAATATTTTTACACCCCCACTTATCAATAAAACAAAATTTATAGGTTATCTATACCTAACAGTTTCAATAATTAGTGCAGCTTTTTAGCATCTAGACCTTTAGTCAACAGATCAGTCGGCATAACATCAGTAGGCACATATTTTACATTAATGATTGTGTCAGGTGTGTTCCAGGTATATGCCCCCACGACAGCTTATGATGACGAAGATATCGAACTATTTCATGTGAAGATATATCAAAGCCTGTGGAAGAACATAAAAAATCGTCTTACACTAGTAATGGGAGATTTCAATGCCAAACTGGGTAGAAAACTAAAAGAAGAATAAACTAAAATAGGAGATTTCGGGTATAGTCAGAGAAATGATAGAGGTGCTTCTTTTATCAACTATCACGAAGTAAATCATCTATATGCAATGAACTCCTTTTACAAAAAGAAGCCCCAATGAAAATGGACATGGATCAGCCCTAATGGATCCACAAAAAAAGAGATGTAACCGTTCTTAACAGATTCACAACAGGTAGCGATCACAGGATGGTCAGAGCAAAAATTAGTATTGACGGTAACTATGAAATGAATAGAAAAATAATTATAAACTGGGATCTAGTAAATAGACACAAACTAGGATAATACAAAGAGATATACAAAGACCTATTAAAAGAACAACTAACCCAAAAATTAGACAGTGATGATAAAGATATAGACGAAATAGACAACGTACTTACAACAACGATGATTACATCAGGAAAAGAAATAGCAAAAAATAACAACTATATATCAACAACAACAAATAAGCTTATGGATAAAAGAAAGAAGCTGAACGAAGAAGGCAAGGAAATCTATAGAATATGTAGAAATCAATAAAACAATAACCAGAATGATAAAAGAAAATAAGAGAAAAGAACAAGAAATAAAAATAGAAGAAGTAATACAGAACAACAAAAATATCAAATACTTAAAGCCGAAATTAGGTAAATTTGAAATAAACAAAATAAAAGATGTAAATGGAGTAGAAACAAACGTTAGAGATGACATCATAAATGTAATCCACAATTTCTACTCAGAATTATATAAAACAAAAAAGGAACCACCCGAAGAAAATAAAAACCAACTTAAGGCTAAAATAAAAAATGTCAAGTCAGAGCTACAGCCAGAAATAAGCAAATCAGAAATAAAGAAGGCATTGAAAGAAATGAAAAACAACAAATCGCCTGAAAAAGAGGGAATAACTGCAGAGATGCTGAAATATGGTGGAAAAGTGGTAATTAATATTCTACCTGTTGTTTGGGATTCTAAAAGAATCCCAAACAACTGGAATGAATCAGTAACCATTATCCTACACAAGAAAGGGGATAAAGCAGATATAAAAAAACCGTCCTATAACACTCCTCAATGTAATGTATAAATTCCTAACAAAACTTTC